ATCTAATAAAACAATTTTTCCGCCAAAAGGAAAGTCATTATTCATAATATCACGCAATGTTCGATCCATAATTTCTAAAGCATATCGTGGTGCCATTGGTGCTTCATCCCAAATAAAAATATCAGTTTCTTTTAAATATTGAGCTGCTTTTGATTGGATTTTAATGGAAGATGATGAATCAACAAATAATGGAACGAGCAATCCAAATATCTTATGAACTGTCCTTCCATTAGAAGTAAAGTCGCTGCAATACCAGTAAAAGCCATTGTACACACGCGTTTATTTTTAATTCTAGCTAAATGATAGATAGTTGTACATACAAATGTTTTACCTGATCCTCCAGGACCATCAATATAAAAACAGTTATTATTATTATTATTATTGTTAAATCTATTTAATATAATATCGATTATCTCTTTTTGTTTATCATTTAATTGTTTGTATTGGTTATTACCTACTTCCATGATTTTTTCAAATGTCATATAATCCTCTTCTTCTTCATATTCATTTAATTGTTCCATTTGTGGAAAATCAGCAAGACTTTTACCTTCAGTCTGAAGCATTGATTTGAATATATGTTTTATTTTGTCCTTGTAATATACCAAAATGTCGAACGTAATCTTCAGACATTGCTACTTTAAAATTTTCCCATAATTCTTCAGGATGTAATGGCTGACAATGTAATAATATACGTACAAATAATCTACGAAGTTGTCGTGGCATCATCCATTCAACAGCTTCATTCATAGCTCGTATCCATTCATCATCATCTTCGATCAGACCTAAAGCCAAACATGCTGCTGAAAATGATTGACACAATTCTCCATTTACAGTTTTTAAGTCGTTAAAACTTGTAACTCCCTTTACTGTGAGTAATAATAATCGTAAATGAAATAATTCTGTTTGTGTTGGACTAACGGAATACATTCGTCCTACACAATTATAATGACTTTTACGTTTAGCCCAACGCGATACATTTATGCCATTAATTTTCTCCTTTTTAAATGTATAATGTTGTGGAATTTCTATGTATAGATATTGTCTTGCTTCCTCATCGCGTATGTTCAATGAGAAATAATCTATCAACATAGTAACCTGATTTAAAGCAGAAATCATAACGTCATCAATATTTTCATTTTCAATTATAATATTTTGTTCATTAGGAAGATGGACTGGCAATCGCATTATAGCGTGACTTTTATCTTGTAACTTCTTACCAAGAATACGCCAACTGGCTTCCACAGGTCCAACATAACGAGCTTCGATATAATTATGTATTTCATCATGATCAATAATTACATTTTCTGTTATTGGTTCAATAGTTACGGCAGCAACATCATGTCCTTTATATATATATTTATACAGATATTTAAATGATTTTATACTTGAAACTACTTCAACATTAATATGACTATTAAATATAATCGATAAAGTAGGACAATATGGAACAACATAACGATTATCGACTATATATCCGCCAGGACGTTCGAAATTTTTACCATTATCTCGGCGACGATAATAAGGATAAGCATTTTCATCCATTCTAGTTTCTTCAAGAAAAGGTTTTGGATAATGTTTCGAACAACATCCATCTACCAAACACCAATCACCACAAGGTCCATGAATCATATGTCTCATAACTATATCATGTAAAATACGATTCTCGCATGGATTCGGAATTTCAGCAGAAATATATTTATCAACAATTTGTGGAGTTGTTATTTTAAAATTGTATTTTAAAGTAATTAACATATGAATATGTGGTAAACCACGTTTTTGGAATTCAATAACATACACAAACGCTGCTACTTCACCAAAAAATTTTTGTTTAACGATTAAATCAATTAAATAGTCCTTTTTTATATTGAATACACGAGCACAAATATCAGGTCTATCAGAAGCTTGTTGACCAGGTAAAAGGTTTTCCTCGATTTCTCGCCATTTTGGATTACAAGTCATGGTAATGAAAAAGTCTGGTTTACCAAATTTACTAACTATTGCCATTGCATCTTGATAATTTTGTAACATATTACGCGGCGATCCAATAAATGTTGAAGGAAGAATAATCATTTTTCCAATACGACCATTCAAGTTATTCGCCGTAGTTTGTAAGTAGTCTTTTAAACCTTGATATGTTTCACTGCGTAATTCTTTTTGATGATTTTTACAATAATCAATTCTATCTTTTTCCATTTTAACATAACTATCTACAAGCCACTGCTGAAATAAGCGACGTCCTAGTAAAAAAACGTTAAATTCATCACGAATAGCCATACGATATTTAATATATTGTCCTCTAGTTATTCGTCTATCACTATTTAATTTTTTTAAATCACGATGCCATCCTTGAGTACCATATGGATAAAACAATGGATATACCCATGGTTCAACATTTGGATCCATAATACTAACTTTTTGTAAAGTTTTAGTATTTCTATTACGTATTGTAACGTACGATTCTGGAATTTCCCCATCAGCAGTTATACAAAAAATAGCAGCAACTTCATTAGTTCTTTGAGCATTATATCGACGTCGATCCATACCTGGTCTTAAAATAAATGATAATTGTAATTCCGGTAACAATTTACCAGATTCCATTTCTAAACGTCGTTGATTTTCTAATTCCTCACCCATCATTTGATAACACTGAGAAAATACATTAATTTCTCGCATTATATATTCAAGATTTTGTACAATTTTAAAATCTAAATATGAATTTTTATTAAGACGATGCTCTATTGCTTTATTTGCATCCACAATAAAAAGTTGACCATAAGTAGGACTTTCATTTTGTGCAGCGTATAATGCTGTATTAACTTGATAATATATCTGTCCCTGTATCTTGAAACAATATGGACCAGGTCGTCTATTTTGAAAATTCTTTAAATTAGCGTTAAATGATGCAAACGAAAATGAACTATTATAACTACGAATATGTTGAAAAAAATCATTAGATTTTACATGAGTCCCATCAAATAAATCACGAATTAATTGTGGAAATTCAGGTAATGGTTGTAAATATACTGCACCATGATTACAACAGTCATGAAAGGAGCTTCCTCTATTAGATATTTTTTCAGACGCAAAATGTTTTGCATTGCAATGAATACAAGATACATCCATAGAACCAATATAATATTCAACAATATTATTAATTAATATTATATCATCATTATTTAAACGAGGTTGATTTTTTTGCCGTGATCGATAATAAGATTGACGTTCTGCAAAAGATTGTTGACACACTGATTTAAGATTTTTAAAACTTTGTTCTTCATCTAAATCTATTATTATATGATTATCACGTGATGTACCAGCAACACAAATATTACGATTAACTGATTTTGTTACATTATTTAATGCTTTTATAATTTGATTACGACGATATTGATTTTCTGCTTTTTTTTTAGAACGTTGTCGTTGTAACTCCTCTTCTTCTTCTAAACTATGCTGTATTTTGCGTTTCGGCATTTTATAAAAGTAATAATATATAAATATATATATATATATATATATATATATACACGTATGTTTTCCGTGAAAAGTATATATATTATTGTTGAGAAATACGGTAATATATATTTTTTTTTATTTTTCGGAGCAAACCGTTGAGAATGTTTGAATATCCTTTTCAAGGATGATTGTATCGCGATGGAATTTGAAAAACAGCGTGATAGCCTCGTGATCACTCGCGCCTAATTGGCCGAAGTATCTCGCCTTACTTTAAGGGATCCAATCACGATAACGTGCCCTACGCGCGCTCCAAAACTCGCGCTGTACTCACAGCAGTCTCAATCGAGAGAGCGAAAAGAGAACACTCTTGTACATAGCGTTCTTGTGCTAATCGAAAAAGAAATAAAGTTACGATTCGACACCAAGTGCAAAGTTTCATTCAGAAAACCCGAACCCGGCGATAACATTAACATACAAAATTGGTCCTTCGAGCCGGATTCGTGAAATTAATCGGATGAAACTGCGACCTTGTTCTCAATCACGCGTGAATCAACCCGAGAGTTTCGGACAATTTCCCAGTGTTCCGGAAGCCTTTGTGATCGGACGTTTAACGCGTTCTCGTTCGTTGCGGAGCTCTGTGTGCGAGAGTGAGACCGCGCTACACGACCAGCTGTCGCGCGCTCAGAGACAGTCTCTCTCTCTCTCTCTCGCTCTCTCACGACGACGCGTGGAGCGAGAGAGACAGCGCAACGCCGCGCGTTCCGACGCGCTCTCTCTCTCTCTATCTCTCTCTTGCTGCGGCTCTCTCCCAAAGACCAACATTTTTGCAGTACAAGCGCCGCTATCACGCGCTTTGCAATTTTGCCCTTCGGACGGCAGTTAAATGCCGTTCGAGAATAGCAACTGCACGTGTACTCCGCTACCCGTGCCCAGTGACTCTCATCTCCGGTGCCGCGATCACGTGCCAGTGATGGAATTCTCTAACACCGCGGGTGACAGTGAACATTGTTGCAAGTAACCCGCGCGCGCGCCGCAATCACGCGCTTAGCAAGTCGTTACACACAGTGACTCTCATCGTTTAAAGGTGACTCTCATTAATTGTGAGCCGCTATCACGCGCTACGAGCCAGTGAATCAAAACAATTCCTGGGCATTAATTTAAGAAACTTTCTGCATGCCTGCAGTACCAGGCGCAGGACGTCGTGCGCGCAACTATAAAGCGCCCGCCTCCTGCTTCTCTCCTTGACTCTTGTCAACTTTCGTCGAATCTCGACATTCCTAAACTACAATAAAGGTGCGTGATTTCAAGTGTGACTTCGCTAAAACGCGTTTTGCTATCACCACCGCACCATTATGTGTACTTTGCTCTAAGTGACAAGGATAGCCACTAACGGCCGTCGTGACGACGCCAAATCGCGCTAAAAATTAACTCTTTCTCTCACGCTCGCGCTTCGAGCCGAGGAATTTTTCCTCGCCGAGCAGACGCGCGCGCCTTCTGCTCCCGTGAGTGATAAAATAATAGCTCACATATTCGGCATCGAGACTATGATGTCGACCACCGTGAACGATCTGCTCATCGAGCAGAGTGAAAACATTAGCTCGCTCAAAAGAGTCCTCGTCAATTTCAAAAAGCTAGCCAAGCCGAACGTGACCCTCGCCAAAACGCGAGGTCGTCTTGCCACTGCGGCGGAAATCTGGGGCGCTTGCCGCTCCCTCCACGTCAAGCTTCTTCAGATGGCAACGCCGGAGCAGAAGAAGGCCTTATCGTACTTCGAGAAGGACGAGTTTCTCGCAGCTGAGGATGTCTACAACGATGTGGCCGATCTCCTTCATGAAACGATAAGTCGATTTACACCAACTCAAATCGCGCTTAACGATCGTAGTCTCGATTCCTCCGTTCGCGAACCTAACAATCATTGTTTTCAATTGCCACGCATCACGCTCCCGAAGTTTGCCGGTAAATTGACTGATTGGGAAAACTTTCGCAATATTTTCGAGTCTCTCGTAGCAAACAACGACGCTCTTTCAAATTCCCAGAAATTTCATTATTTAAAAACGAGCGTAACCGGAGATGCTTCACTGTTAATCAATAATTTAAAGATTTCGGATGCAAATTATGAGTCGGCCTGGCAATTGCTAACAAACGAGTACGATGATAAACAAGCGTTAATTTACTCGCATCTGCATGCATTTTTTAATTTTCCGGTGATGAGATCCGAAAATGTAAGCGATCTTCGCAAGTTACGCGACACAGTGTCTGCATCATTAGCCGCGTTAAATAACCTCGGTCGTCCGGTAGAGCAATGGGACGACGTTCTTATATATATAATCACGCAAAAGTTTAGCGCGAAAACGCGTACAGAGTGGAATCTGAAGCGAACGAAACGCGACGAGCTCCCTACTTATCAGGAACTCAGTGAATTCTTAACGCTTCGCATTCGCGGACTATCTGACTTTTCGGATGCGAGCACAGACGCCGGCTCCGCGAAACACGATAAGCCGCGTTCGTCAGTCAATAGCGTGACCGTCGCCAAATGTATTTGCTGCTCCGGCGAGCATCCAGTTGCGAGATGCGAAACGTTTATTAAAAAATCTGCTTCACAGCGTTGTGCTTTTGCCCGTCAACATAAGATTTGTTTTAATTGCTTAAAGCCCGGGCACTTTCCGACGAAATGCCCGAGTAAATTTCGATGCAGACAGTGTAGTCGCATGCATCATACACTGTTGCATTCCGCGTACTATGGCGCCTCTGTCAGTACAGAGGCTTCCGCGGCGACTACCTCTGAGTCCGCCTCGAGCGTCTCTAACGACTCGCTAGTTCCGCCGAAGGTACCGCCAGTTGCGAGCGTCCAGACGGTACCACCCTCGCTCGATCGACCTCCCAACGTTCTTTTGGCCACGGCGTGGGTCGACCTCCACACAAAAGAGGGTCGATGTTTGAAAGTACGTGCGCTGCTGGATCAAGGATCCACTTTCAGTTTTATTTCGGAGTCGCTTTCACAAGCTTTGCGCACTAAACGGCAACGAGCCAATTTGCAAATTAAATGTTTCGGCGAAAAATTCACCGGTACTGCTAAGTCACGATTAACGCTTCGATTAACCCCGCGTTCGAAAGCTGATCCGAGCTTTCCTCTGGAAGCTTACGTATATCAACGCATTACTTCGTATGCCGCGTCGCAAGTTCAGCCGTTCGAAACGTGGCCACATTTACAGGGTCTCTCCTTTGCGGATCCTGATCCTTCGAGTCACCACCAAATTCACTTATTGATCGGTGCTGACCTTTACGGCTCACTTTTGCTGCGCGATATCCGTCAAGGTCCTATCGGTACTCCGACCGCTCAATTGACCGCTCTTGGTTGGGTACTCTCTGGCCCTACGACTAGTAGGTCCACCGCTTCTGCTGAAGCCTCCGTATTGAACTGCGTGTCTAATCAGGACATCCACTTGCTTCTCCAGAAATTCTGGGAAGAGGAGGAAATTCCTCACCCTTTACCCCTCACTGAAGAGGAGGAGAGGTGCGAAGCTCACTTCGTTGCGAATCATTACCGGAATTCGCAGGGACGTTATACCGTCCGATTGCCATTTAAGCATGATCTCCCGATAGAAATCGGTGATTCTTTATCAATTACAACTTCGCTGTACTATAAAATGGAGAGCAGGTTACGACGTCAACCTGAGCTTCAAGCTCAGTATAATGAGTTTTTAAAAGAATATCGCGCTCTCGGGCATATGACAAAGGTGGAGGACTCTGAGCATTCCGAGTTCAAACCCGTATACATATCGCATCACCCTGTCTTGCGTGATTCGAGCTGTACCACTAACTTACGCGTTGTTTTCAACGCCTCTTGCAACACGAGCAACAACTCCTCTCTCAACGATCATCTGTTGATCGGTCCGAGGTTGCAACAAGATCTCCCGCGATACTGTTGCGCTGGCGGCAGTGGCGCCTGGTCTACACTGCGGATATTGCTCAGATGTTCCGCCAGATCCTCGTGCATCCGTCTGACACGGACTTTCAGAGGATTCTTTGGCGTTCGTCGGCTGACTCGCCGATCGAACGCTACCGACTTCTCACGGTGACGTACGGGCTGGCCCCAGCCCCGTACCTTGCGATGAGAGTCCTGAGGCAGCTCTCCATTGATGAAGGAGCTCTCTATTCCGCTGCCGTTTCAATTCTGCGCGAGTCCTTTTATGTGGACGACGCGCTTTTCGGCGCGGACGACGAGGCCTCGTTAATTGAGGCTCGTATACAACTGGTGGAAATACTAAGAAAGGGTGGATTTCAGCTCCGTAAATGGGCACCCAACTCCCTCTCCCTTCTTCAGGGGCTCTCGGCTCATCAGCCGGAAGTGAAAAATCACTTGTTAGTAAAAGAGGATACTCTCAAGGTCCTAGGTCTTTCGTGGCACTCGCAGGACGACTCGTTTCAATTCGTGGTCACACCTCCGAAAACGGTCAATCCAACGAAGCGCTCAATTCTCTCTTCACGGCTAAGTTGTACGACCCGCTCGGTTGGCGGCTCCGTTCGTTGTAACCTCTAAAATTCTGTTACAAGAGTTATGGCTTCTCAAGTACGACTGGGATACGCCTCTCCCTGACGAGTTACGCGAACGATGGGAGAGTTACTCCAGGGACTTGCAATCGTTAAATCTTGTTCGGATACCTCGTTGGACGGTAAACATTGCGAGAATCTCGCGTAGAAATACACGGGTTCGCGGACGCATCAAATCGAGCTTATGCGGGCGTAATATACATTCGCGTTATTCACGCGCCGACCAGATTTCAAATCAGCGTGGCCGCTAAAACTAAAGTCGCGCCGATCAAGACCGTGAGCATCCCGCGATTAGAATTGAACGCCGTCGTCTTGCTCAGTCGCCTAATCAAATGGACCTTGACCGCCCTGGCTTTGCCCCCGATTCCCGTCTACGGATGGACGGATTCTACCATCGCCCTTGCGTGGCTTCGTCAACATCCATCTAAATGGAATACTTATGTTGCAACCGCGTGTCGGAAGTGCAAACGACTCTGGCTTCCGCTCGCTGGAATCACGTCCCTTCAGGCGACAATCCGGCAGATTGCGCCTCGCGCGGTTTGTCTGCTTCCGAACTAGTTGTCCACCCGTTATGGTGGACTGGCCCTCGATGGCTTCATCAGCACCGACTCCTGGCCAATCTTGACTTTTTCTACTCCGTTCGATTCTAAACCGAATTGCAAGTGTCGACGGAGAGGAAAAAATATGTGACGCTCCACGTACAAGAGTCCGCTGAGTGGGAACTTCCACGCAAGTTCTCCCGCTGGACGAAGCTCATCCGAGTAACCGCCTACGTTTACAGATTCGTACTACGAACAAGAGGAGGAAAGGTTGATTCTCGCCA